GGGGGGGGGGGAAATGAAAAGAAACTTAAGATGTAAATAATTTTGATAAGCAAAAGGCATGAAGACTGAGTTGTGGTTTTCTCTAACAATGATATTAAGAAGTTAGGTTCATCTATGGAAGAAACCAGAAAGACAATGGAGGAAGTCATGGGATGGATGGTAAAGTTAAACATAGTTAGAGGTAAGAAAGGTAAAGGAAGTGTTTGAAGGTTTGTGCATGTGTGAAGAGGATTGTGTAGGTGTGAAGATGGTTGAAGGGGGTAGGATGAGGAAGAGGAGAAAAGAAGAAGGAAGGCAGAATGAGAGGGAGGAGAAGGAAAGAAAAGTAAAAAGAGAGACACGGAAGGAGGTGAAAGAAAAGTGAAGTTTGGAAGGAGGGAAGAGAGTTAATGTAAGAGAAAAGATTGGGAATAAGGATGAAGATTGGTTATTAAAGAAGGGAAGCGATGACAGAGTAGGCAAGGATAGCGTAAGAAGGTAGGGGAAAGTAGTGGGAGAAGGAATAATTTAGAAAGATTGTTAGGTTAAATGGAGGTATTATATAGACATGTATATTATAACTTAAAGGTATATATATTATAAGGATATATTATTGATGCTTAGTTTTAAAGATAAATTGGGTGGTGCTATATAAAGAGGTTGTTTGGATGTTAAATGTTAATGTTGAGTGTAACAATGTATGGCTGTTTTAACTGATTAGCTGTTTTATATGTATAAACTTTTGTGAATAATGATTATTAAAAAAAAAACACAGGTTCTAGCATTTTCCACCTCCTCCAGGAGGGGACTTCTTAACTGTCTGTTTCTGGCCAAGCTTTTGCATCATTAATTGGGATAGCTCACAAGATATTCTTGTTGGGGAATCCATCCCATCCTTTCCAGCTTCTCTGAAGACTGCAGAGGAAGTCAGAGGGAACAGTGAAGTTTGAGTAGGGTGGCAGATTATGCCATTATCCCTGCTAAGAAAAACATCCTAGCACTTTGACCCTATGAGCTCTGGCTCTACTACCTCACTTTACAACAGAGAAACACTACAGTGCAGTCTATCTGACTGAAGGCCAGTGCAGCTCTTTTATTCCTATCATTATTTTTATTTCAAATGTGCCTGGAATATTCTTATTTGATGATCTAGCACTCTATTCCAGCTGACTAATTTCTGCAGCTCACACGCTTTTAAAGGCTTCGCTTAACTGTCAGCATAATTTTATTTGTACTATACTTCTCTTTATTAATTACTGTCCTTTTATCCATTTGATCTGGCTAATGGATTTCTTTGTTCAATTGGC